CCACCAAAACGGATCCCCTCAACACCTTGGCTGCGCCTAGAAATTCTGTCCATAAAAGTTATGAACAGAATCGGTGACAAAGGGCAACCTTGGTGGAGTCCAACTCTCACCGGGAACAAGCCCGACTTACTGCCGGCGATGCGGACCAGGCTCTGACACCGGTCATACAGGGACCTAACAGCCCGTATCAAAGGGCCCGGTACCCCATACTCCCAGAGTACCCCCCACAGGGTCCCCCGCGGGACGCGGTCGAACGCCTTCTCCAAGTCCACAAAACACATGTAGACCGGTTGGGCAAACTCCCACGCACCCTCCAGGACCCTGCTGAGAGTGTAGAGCTGGTCCAGTGTTCCACGGCCAGGACGAAAACCGCACTGCTCCTCCTGAATCCAAGGGTCGACTATCCCACGGACCCTCCTCTCCAGAATAGCATATATACTGTATGTATGTATATATATATATATATATATATATATATATATATATATATATAAGTGTATTAAACAGCAGTCTGAATGTGAATCTATTGTGAGCAGCTTATGGGTAAGAAAGTAGCAGCATGGATAATCAGCAGCACACATAAAGTGAATCTCCAATTAAAGTGGCATCACAGTGATTATCCTAGTTAGAGATTCATGAGTCTAACAGCTTCAGGGTAGAAGCTGTTCCTCAGTGTAGTGGTTCTACACTTAATGCTCCTCAACCTTCTGCCTGAGGAAAGTGCGGCAAAAAGTGTGTGTGCTGGGTGAGTGGGGTCCTTCATGATGCAGATGGCCCTCTTCCTTCATCTGGAGGTGTAGATGTCTGTGATGGTGGGGAGGCTGACTTAAATAAAGGGTGGCTGTGGCTGAGTGGTTAGACTGAGATTCCCAGACCAGCTCGTCTCAGCCACCTGAGGAAGTAGAGCCGCTCATGTGCCTTCTTGTTTAGACTGGAAATTTTGTTGCCTCAGCTGAGGTTGTTACTCAGGTGCACACCCAAGTTCCTATAACTTGAGACCACTTCCACCACAGATCCTACTATGTGCAGAGGAGGGCAGGTGTTTGCCCCTTCTGAAATCCACAATCGTCTCCTTCGTCTTCTTCACATTGATGTGGAGGTTGTTCTTCCTGCACTAGCTCTCCAGGTGTTCCACCTCCTGCTTGTAGCTGGACTCATCAGTTTGTGATGCATCCAACCACCGCTGTATTGTATGCAAACTTTAGAATTTGACAGCTTGGATGGCTATATATGTGAGCAAAGTAATTAGGACGGGGCTCAACACACAGCCCTGAGGGGAGTCAGTGCTAAGGGTTTTGGCGGAAGAAGAAAAGTTGTGGATTCTCAACCAAATGCCTGTTGGTTAGGGTTGGGCATCGAGGCTCGAGAATCGACTGGAACCGGGACTAACTGTCCAGTTTTCCCAGAATCGTTCAAAATATGTATTTTAGGTTCCTACTTTCAATGCCTAGTCCACCAACCGGAAGAAGAAGCCACCCACCGAAAACCAACAAAGAAGAATCAACCGGAAGTGTTCCCATACATGGAGAGTGAGCAGCCGCGATCAAAAGTGTGGCTTAACTTTAATACCAACATTAATGCAGCTAACAAGTTATACTCAACCTATAACTACCGCTTTAAGTCAAGTTATACTTGACTTAAAGCGGTAGGTCAACTCAAATGCAAACACCATGCTAACATTAGCTTGTATTTTTTTCCTAGACAAACAACCCAAAATGGCTAATAAAAATTAATAAAATAATTTAAATGCATTGTACTTATATAGTGCCTTTCTATCTTATTTCAAGATACTCAAAGCACTTTACACTACAATCTGTGTCCTCATTTACCCATTCATACAGCTCTACTAGATCTCCACAAAGCTAATGGAACAAATCATTCTAATGAGACTAATCAGTGCTTTTAGATCACATTCATACACTGATGGGACACACATCAGAGGCTATGAGTGGTTCATTGTCTTGCCCAGGGACACTTCAGCATGTGACTGCCGGTGGATTCGAACCCCCAACTCTCGCATTGGAGGACGACTACTCTAACCACTCAGCCGCCCACATTTAAAAAATCATGCACAGCTGGCCTTTTCAGCTATTAAAATCTGAAATCTAAATACTAGTAATGTTCTTTGTGGTCAACAGAGGAAGACTGTGGAGATGATGGGGTCACCATGCAGTCTGAGGAAAGGCCTGAGAATGAGGGAGTGGAGGATGAGGATGAGAGTGTAAGTTAAGTTTCTCTTTGTAAAGTTTTAGCCTGAACATGCTGGTTGCTTA